TAACATAGATCGCCAGTCAAAAGAGTTATCGATGTTTAAAATAAGTGAATATATAATACTTTTTTTTAAAACTTCCTTTTAAAAAAATATATTGCAGAATCGTATATTGATATTTTTGTTAGAAAAAGTCAATTAACTCATTGTTGATCGATGGACGAGTTAACTCGCCTTCGGTCATCAATGTTTGGGTATGAAATCAATATTTAAAGTGATTTACTTTACTTCTAAATTCAATTACAAAATAATAGCCGGTAACATGACGCAGTTTCTGTGAGAAATTGCCTGTCAAGAAAGTGTTAATTCTAGTATAACGCCAACTGTTTTTCACCCATTTATAACTGGATGGGTAATTAGATATTGTGGAGTATACCGTATGAAAAGATACTGTACAGAATGATAGTGTGGAAAGATACTACGGAGTATACTGTACAGAAAGATACTGTATAGAATGATACCGCGGAAAGAAGCTGAAGTATACTGTGTAGAAAAATAGATACTTTATAGAAAGATACTGTGAACTATACTGTGTAGAAAGATAGATACTGTATAGAAATATAATGTGGAGTATACTGCACAGAAAGATACTGTGGAGTATACTGCACAGAAAGATACTGTGTAGTATACTGTATAGAAAGATACTAGAGAATGATGCTATGGAAAGATACAGTATAGAATGATACTGTGGAAAGATACTTTCGGGTATACTGTATAGAAAGATACTATATAGAATAACACTGTGGAGTATTCTGAATAGAAAGTTAAATACTGCATAGAAAGATACTGTATGGAATGATACTGTGGGAAGATACTACGGAGTATACTGAATAGAATGATACTGTGGGAAGATACTACGGAGTATACTGTATAGAATGATACTGTGGGAAGATACTACGGAGTATACTGTATAGAATGATACTGTGGGAAGATACTACGGAGTATACTGTATAGAATGATACTGTGGGAAGATACTACGGAGTATACTGTATAGAATGATACTGTGGGAAGATACTACGGAGTATACTGTATAGAATGATACTGTGGGAAGATACTACGGAGTATACTGTATAGAATGATACTGTGGGAAGATACTACGGAGTATACTGTATAGAATGATACTGTGGGAAGATACTACGGAGTATACTGTATAGAATGATACTGTGGGAAGATACTACGGAGTATACTGTATAGAATGATACTGTGGGAAGATACTACGGAGTATACTGTATAGAATGATACTGTGGGAAGATACTACGGAGTATACTGTATAGAATGATACTGTGGGAAGATACTACGGAGTATACTGTATAGAATGATACTGTGGGAAGATACTACGGAGTATACTGTATAAAATGATACTGTGGGAAGATACTACGGAGTATACTGCATAGAATGATACTGTGGAGTAGAATTTTATTGTGGAAAAGTTTAAAAGCGAATTTAGAATTTCCTACGCAGTCTCCAATCTTTTTCCCTTTGAACTCAAAACATAAATGAGCTTATCTTTATTTGCCCAAATGGTATTTCAAATTCGAGGCATTTAAAATTATTAAACTCTATCGCTAAAACTCTTTTGTTGCTAAATATTAATTATAACTAATTATTTTTGACATTTTTTTAAACACAAATGTTTAAGTCACTAACCACTTATTATCATCCTTTAAATGACGAGTATTATAAAAGTTTTAAAGATAATCCAATTTTTTAATGGTAAGAGGGTACCAACGAAACGCATTAAACTCTTTGTTTGTGAACCAACATTTTAGGCCTAGATCAGTTAAGACTTACAGTGGGGGTGAAAATATTGACCTTTTCCTTACGGCGCTTATAATGACCAAACCAATCTGGTCCACTTATTGTTCCAGGCGTAATCAAAGGCTTAAGAAGAGAAAAAAGTTTAAAAGCAAAAAATATTTCATCCTTAGCTTAAAAATGTCAACAGTTAAATAAATCTGATCGGCAATCAAAAGTTAATTTTAATTACCAATTAAAAGAGTCATATTGAATGTAAAGATTGATTTTAACTTTCAAACGTAAATACTCATTTACTCGTTTAATTCTTGCAGAGCGCCATTAAGCTAAATTACTTATTTATTTTGCTTTGCTGTTTTAGATCTGAGTATTCTTCCAACTTGAAAAAAAAAAAAATTATAGCAGTTAAAGTTCGCTTCGCTTTTGTGAAGAAAACGTCACAAATTAAGTTCATTAGTTCGTATGATTAGGTAGGTAAGTAATTTATTTACTTCGCAATAGAGCTGCACAATGGGCTATTGACAACGGTCTGGGAAACGTCCCAGAGGATGATCCGAAGATGTGCCATCGCAATTTTGATCCTCTACAAAAGGGGATAGCTCCCCTGCTTTGGTAGATCGACGACTTGCGTGCAAAGTTGAGCTCTTTACAGTAGAAGAGTTTAACGAAGACCCATACCGCTGACCTTCGGTCCCTATGCGGGCTGATCAAAGTGGTCACCCACCCGCTTACTGGCCGCAGCCAGTGATGCTTGACTTCGGTGTTCTACTGGGAACCGTGTCTTTAAGATCAGTCCACTGCGGGATGGTTCGTATGGTCAACAAAATTGCTGATCTGCTTCTTAATTCATCAAAAACGCCATAGATGTAGCATTTGATGTTAGCATATGATGTATTGAATATTTAAATAACAAATTCGCCTCCATACCACATGAACAAGTAAAAGACAAAAACTAAATCCATTTTATTTTGTTGAGAAATATGAGTTTAGGCTTACATATTGTCTTTATTTTCGAATGTACGATTTTAAATATCGATATACTTGAAATCCTGCTTACCTAAAAGGGCGGACCAGTTGATCACGGCAAATGGCTAGTAATAAATAAGACTGAGTCAAATAGAAAGATATTTAAATCTCTTGGAACAGGATTTGTCTTTTTTGGGTCAAAAACTTTAATTACGAATATTTTCAAAACATATAATATAAAAGAAATTGTAGTTCTGTTCAAAAATAGTTCCAAAATAGTTCTGTTTTAGTTCTGTGTTTAGTTCTGTTTCTGTTTTTGTACTCAAAAATTTCAATTTTATATATCAAAGAAAGCAATAGTCAAGAAGTATATAGTAAAGAAAAAAAAATTGGGGTCGGTTTTTTATTTTATTTTATAACTGTCGTTGAACAGCCGACCCAATTTTTGAGTTTATGACAACTAACTGTAGCCTTGTAACTTTGAACCCAATCCAGGAGACAAGGGAGCTCCTGGATCAAGTATAGGGAGAAATTTGCCTTTGTGGAGGACTTTTTAATTGAACTGAACCGAATTTTCGTTACATGGAGAGGAAGACCACGAAAACCTCCCATTGTTAGCCTGATAGCAAGGGAACTCTAACCTATGATCCGTCTACCACTGAGTTTATTTCACGTCAGCACTGTAGTCGGCGCAAGCTGGATGCGGAATTCGTATCAACCAGCTATCGCAGGGATTCGAACCCCGATCACCTCATTTGAAGGCGAACACTCTATCCCCCTAACCATCACGGCTGAATGGGTTGATATTGTAAAGAACACAAAAATTTTAAATTTTAAATTGAAAACTAAAATTTGCATTATATTTTTGATTTTGACGGAAAAATTAAAATTTAAGCTTAATTAGAAGATGTAAACATTTTTCAATTGGGATATTTATTTGGTGCATATGTAACAAAAAAATCCAACTTTTAATCGATTTGATTTCTTTTTGTTAAAAAAATTATATCCCATTTAGTTATCAATAAAATAAGCAGTTTTGTTTCATAAGACTTCTTCTTAGTGTCAAGGATGCAAATAAGAAGTGCAATAATTAAAATAAAATATTCTCGCAACAGCACACTGTGGGTCAGGCATAATTTCGTGACCAGTGCCATGATTGTTGTTATGAGATCAGCATTATATATGGACCGTCTTTACTTCCCGTACAAGCTAGTACCCAAAGATCTGAAAGAAGGTGACCTTCAAGCCTCCAATGAGGATCAAACCAAAGTCCAGCTAGTAGTACAACTGTACCATCGTGGTTAAGTGCAATAATTATTACAGCCATTTATTTCATACTTAGGTCTAACATAATTCAATGTTTTAAAAGAGGAATTTAGAAGTATGAGAAAATATAATAATTCAAAATTTTTTTGTTCGGTATTTGCGCATCAATCAAAAATATTGAAAATAATAGAAAATAAAGATGAATATATTTAGACTCTTTAGGAATAAAACCTAAACATTTACATTTGAACCTGTTTTCTAACCTCACCTTTAGCAAAACTTTAAAGTTTATTTCATATTGATGAATATTATGATTTCGCAGTTCTGTCAAACGTTAAAAAATAGATTTAGTTTGAAGTCACAAAACACCAAATTAAATAAATAAAACAAACTTTTTTATACAATGTTATACAAAATTATTTATAATATTTAATTGCAATATTCAACTAATAATAAGAAAACAGTTTTTTTGAATATTTAAAATGATAATCGTTATTTTTCACCTAAATATTTGAAATGAATAAATTTTAAATATTCGAATGAAAAAAATGACAAAATTATTATTTAAGTATCTCTCTTATTTGAAAATTTTCTTTCTTTCGTAAATTCAAAATTTTAAGTTGATAAAAATTGTCACCGTGATCTCATATTTAATAAATAAATTCCAGTCAAACTGGGAATTATTTGGCTCTCTTAAAAAGCTATTTTCTTTTCTTTTTGGAGTAAATAACTTAAATTTTAAATGCCTTAAAACATAAATAGATAATAAATTTTAGCTTTTACGTTAAACATTTAAAGTTTACAGAGTGAAAAACAAAACAGGATTCCAAAGTTTATAATGTAAAGAAAATAAGCAAAAGATAAAAAAGTTCTTTTTTAAACCAGATGATTTTGCACATGACGTTGATGATATTATAAAATGCAATGAACTCTCTTTCAAAAGGAAAACAAAATGTATTTGTTAAAATCTTAAATGAAATAATAACACCAAATTCAAAATACTTTTTAAATCTAAATACCTGAGAATACACAGCTTTTTTGGTATAGATTTCACCCTGGAAAATTCAAAAAGAAATGGTAATTCGACATTTTTCAAATCTTCTTACAGCCAAACAACTATCAAACTAATCTGACAACAGACGAATTAACCAAAAGAGAGCGGCATTGCGCATGCGCTTAGCAAAAATACGTAACACTTTACGATTTCGAATGAATTATACGTTATTGTTGCTTACTTTTCAAGTTCAATTTATGTTATTTAAGGCAATAAACATTTTTCAAATCCTCTTACATCCAAAACAACTATGAAACTAATTTTTGCAAACTAATTAACCGAAAGAGAGATTTATTGCGCATGCGCTAAGCAAAAATACGTAATGCCTTACGATTTCGAAGTTATACGTTTTTCTTGCTCACTTTTTCAAGTTTAATGTTGTTGTTGTTGTTGTTAATTTACGTCGCACTGGAGCTGCACAATGGGCTATTGGCGACGGTCTGGGAAACATCTCTAAGAATGATCCGAAGACATGCCATCACAATTTTGATCCTCTGCAGAGGGAATGGCACCCCCGCTTCGGTAGCCCGACGACCTGCACACGAAGACGATCACTTAACGGTAGAACAGTTTAACGAGGACCCATACCGCACACCCTCTGTCCCTACGCAGACTGATCCAAGTGGTCACCCACCCGCACACTGACCGCAGTCAGTGATGCTTGACTTCGGTGATCTGCTGGGAACCGTGTCTTAACGATCAGTCCACTGCGGGACCCAAGTTTAATGTAATATCATATTATATATGTTACTTGGATTTAATATTATATTATATATGTTACTGTGAATGACCGAAATCAATGTCAACAATCACATAGTCGCTTAGTCCCGCTGTGGACCCATCGTTAAGACACGGCTCCCAGCAGATCACCGAAGTCAAGCATCACTGACTGCGGTTAGTGTGCGGGTGGGTGACCACTTGGATCAGTCTGCGTAGGGACCGAGGGTGTGCGGTATTGGTCCTCGTTAAACTGTTCTACCGTAAAGTGATCGACTTCGCGTTCAGGTCGTTCGGCTACCGCAACGGGGGTGTCATCCCCTCTGCAGAGGATCAAAATTGTGATGGCATGTCTTCGGATCATCCTCAGGGATGTTTCCCAGACCGTCACCAATAGCCCATTGTGCAGCTCTAGTGCGACGTAAATGAACAAATCAATCAATCAATCACATAGTCGCTTAGGAGAATGTCCGAAATATTAATTACATCCGGGTTTATTCCTTTATTCGTTGATATTATTATATTTATTCAATACTTTAATATCTTCTGAGTATAAATTAGCAGAAACATCAGTGTTTGGAGTACTGGTGAAATGCATACGGGTCAGTGGCACTTGACCTTAAGAAAACATCAGAGTAGGGAATACCATCAAACAGTGGCACTGAACCTTAAAAAAAATATTGATGTAGAGCATACCGGGCAAATGTATACCGGGCAGTAGCACTTAAATAGATCTAGTGTATATTTCCGACATTTATCAAAGCGACTATGTGATTGGCAACATTCAATGGTGGAATTCTACAACCACCAATTTCGGTCATTCACAGTAACATATAAATTTAAAAATGTTACTATATTCGGGAACATCTGCTCCTGCACCCCAGAGCCCAAGGTCAGGAAAACTGAGATGGGCACAGTAGACCTTGGCCCTCTATGGGCTGTCGCGCCACTGAGTTTAGTTTAGTTTATATTTAATTAAGATGATAACTAAGCAAATAATTAATTACGCAAAAAGGATATTGAAATTATTTAAAAACCAAAAATATTTTTATATCATCTTTAGTAACCAGAAGTACATAATTTATCGAAATTAATTTATAAGTCAGATGAAACAACTACATTCATGTTTTATACAGCGAATTAAATTATTTTGGTGATTTTAATGCCGTGATATTTCCTGATAATGATTCTTCATATTTTGATCACAATCTTTGTTCGAACTTAAATATCAATTTCAGTTTTACGTAATGTTAAGGCTCATGAAAGATATATTAAGAGCGTTAATTTTATATCATAATTTATAAATAAAGTAATGCAGTTTAACAACAATTTTTCAAAATCATTTTGTAAAAAGACGTGATTGCTCATGAGATAGAGCATTCGCCTTTCAATGAAGCAAACCGGATTCGAATCCCAGCGACAACTGGTTGGTACGAACTGCACATCCGGCTTGCACCGACCACAGTGCTGACGTAAAATATCGTGAGTGGTAGACGGATCATGGGTTAGAGTCCCCTTCTCGTCAGGATAAATCATGATTTTCCTCTCCATGTAACTTAAATGCGAGTTGGTGCCTTCAGAAAGTCGAATTATTGGAATATGTATTGAGAGAAATTTGCCACGAACGCAAATTTCTCTCAATACCTAATCCAAAAGTTCCCTTGTCTTCTGGATTGCGTTCAAAATTACAAGGCCGGGATAGCCTGACTGGTGGAGCACTGGGCCCATGTCCAAGAATTCGTGGGTTCGATCCCAGCAGGCCGAGGACTCCCCGTGTAGTCAAATGGTGACTGATGTACGTCAAATCTATCAGGTCACAAAGTCCTCTATGTTCCCAAAACAAATCAATATCTCTGGGGATACTGATCCAGAAGTTCCCTTGTCTTCCGGATTGGGTTCAAAATTACAAGGCTACGGAGTTGAACATTAGTTGTCGTCAACCCAAAAATTGGGTCGGCTGTTCAACGACGGATGTAAAATAAAANTTCAAGTTTAATTTAATATCATATTAATGTAATATCATATTATATATGTTACTTGGATTTAATATTATATTATATATGTTACTGTGAATGACCGAAATCAATGTCAACAATCACATAGTCGCTTAGTCCCGCTGTGGACTCATCGTTAAGACACGGTTCAAAATCACAAGGCGGGGATAGCCTGATTGGTGGGGCACTGGGCCCATGTCCAAGAATTCATGGGTTCGATCCCAGCAGGCCGAGGACTCCCCGTGTAGTCAAATGGTGACTGATGCACGTCAAATCTATCAGGTCACAAAGTCCTCTATGTTCCCAAAACAAATCAAAATCTCTGGGGATACTGATCCAGAAGTTCCCTTGTCTTCCGGATTTGGTTCAAAATTACAAGGCTACGGAGTTGAACATTAGTTGTCGTCAACCCAAAAATTGGGTCGGCTGTTCAACGACGGATGTAAAATAAAAATAAAAATCCTTTTTGTGATTAAGTTTAAATGCAGTTAATAATGATTATTTTTTTTAAAATTCTGATTTCAAATGTTTAAATTATGTTTCAATAGTTTTGAATGTTTTTTTTTTGAGATATTTAGGTAAAATCAGACTATCAAAACAACTTGAATAAAATTGTTGATTTTATTATTATTTTTAATCCTACATAACATTAAATAGAGTCATAAAATACATTTTTCTGTTAGTAAAAAAAAAAACTCAATTATCGATCCACGGATAGTATTTTTAGTTGAACAATAATTACACGAAGCACACTTTGAACAAAATCTTAAAATATCTTTAGTGTCTGTCGGAAATCATTATTACCCACCGCTTTTCTAGAATATTTAATTATTCTCTGCTTCAAATTTTAATACCTCAGAGAGCTTTCATCTCCGATATTTCTGAAGGAAAATTCAAAAGCCCTTTCTGTCGATTTTACGTAAATCCATTTTGATTAAAGAAGCTTAAGTTTAATCTGTATTTGTGAAAGTTTATCCACTCCCTTTATTCAACGCTAAACATGGAAAGAGTTATTTTTATTGAAAAAGCCTCAACAAAGTCTGGCACCTCTGCGGAAAAATTCAAAAGTGTTGACGACTTTAAAAACACGTAACATTTCATATCAGTTTAAACATTACAACCAGTGTTAAGAGTAGGGTGTTATCCCTTAATTATTGAAGACAATAATTTAAAGGTATGGAAATAATGGAAACAACGCAGTCAATCAACAACTTATAAATATACAGGGTGTTTATAAAGTCCCGGACCCATTTTGATGTTTAATAACTCATAAAATGATAAAGATAGATTAAAATTAATAACATAAATAGTTAGATAGACTCAAACAGTTTCATAACCCTTGTCAATGAACTTCCACGTGTGCCCCCTTCGTCACACGGAGAATATCAATTCGATAGTCAATTTCACGCCAGGTAGCGGCAAGCATGTCGGCATCCACAGAGGCTATTGCGATTGTAATTCTGGCTTTTAGGTCATCAATGTTCGACACGATCCTCCTGTAAACATTGTCCTTTATAAATCCCCAAAGAAAAAAGTCCAGCGGCGTTATATCAGGTGATCTGGGTGGCCAAGGAATTGGATCTCCTCGCTCAATCCATCTTCCTGGAAAATGGTCATTCAAAGAACTACGAACGATGATACCCCAATGAGGTGGTGCACCATCTTGTTGCAAAAAGACATGCGGCTGAAGCTCTTCTAGTTGTGTAAATACCAAGTTTTCCAACATGTCTAAGTATACGATTGATGAGAGTGACGACTGATGAGACAGGAACATGGATTGGGTGAGGAGGTCCAATTCCTTGGCCATCCATATCACCTGATATAACCCCACTGGACTTTTTTCTTTGGGGATTTATAGAGGACAATGCTTACAGGAGGATCGTGTCGATCATTGATGACCTAAAAGCCAGAATTACAACCGCAATAGCCTCTGTGGATGCCGACATGCTTGCCGCTACCTGGTGTGAAATTGACTATCTACTTGATATTCTCTGTGCGACGAAGGGGGCACACGTGGAAGTTCATTGACGAGGGTCATGAAACTGTTTGAGTCTATCTAACTATTTGTGTTATTAATTTTAATCTATCTTTATTATTTTATGAGTTATTAAACATCAAAATGGGTCCAGGACTTTACAAACACTCTGTATATAAAGTGCAAAAAAAGTGCACCTTGAATAACACGTGAATAAAGCAAACATTAACGTGAATAAATCTCAAACGAAAGTGCAAACCGACTCTATCTGTCTAATAGGACTGTCTATGGGCTGAGACTATTTATTAAATCTAGGTTTCTTTCTAGGAAAACGAAGTTCGTAATCTACAAAACTCTTCTCAGGCCAGTTTTGACATACGCTTCTGAAGCTTGGACAACGACAAAACAGGAGGAAAATTGTATAGCAATTATTGAGAGAAAGATTTTGCGAAGTATACTTGGTGATGTAAATGTGAAAACAGTAACTAGAGAAGGAGATTCAACTTTGAACAGTACAGGATTTATAAGCAACT